TTGTCAGAAAGAGTACGTTCCTGCGTTTTACATACCAGTGAGCAGCCTGTGATCCCATTTGCAAGTAGGTTCTGGTAATCATCAGGGGCCGGAAAAACCATCCGACTGCCTGAGTGGTAGAGCCTACAGAAGGGATGGTGATTGTTCCAAACTCACGAGGGGGGAGCGTACTTGCGTGTGTGTGTGTGTGTGTGTGTGTGCGCGCGCGCGCGCACGCACGCGCCTTCTGACCACTGTCTCCATCTCCCCTCGGGACAATGGAGGGTGGGGGCCGGTCCCTGTCCCCGCGTGGACCGAAGGGTGAACCGCTGAGCCCAGGTGTGCACGAAGCCAGTACTTATTTCGGTCGGCTTTGGAGGGATGAAACAGGGTCCTCACATGTTGGCAAGGTGACGATCACTCAGTCTGAGCACCGCCTTAGAAACCACACTCCAGGACCTCCTCCCAGAGGCTGCAATCGTCGTGGGATCCTCTTCTGTGGTTCCCGCACCCGGAGGCCCACAGTTAGGCAGGATGATTTTCACTCAGATTCTTGTGCCAGCTCAGATCTTGTTCTAAAGCTCTTCTAAATCCTCTGCGGATAGAGACTCTGGGACACATGTAACTTTTTTCTTTTGTGTGAAATGCCTCCCTGGTAGGACAGCAGCAATCCTCTGTGCCTCACAGCACAGGGCTGCGGGCAGGATTTGCAGGTAAATCCTGCAAGAGAATGCGAAGGAAAGCAGGAAGGTTTTTCTCATGGTCGAAGTTGTTGATATTTTTTAAAAAGTAACTTTGGGCTCATCCTAAGAAGTAGTATGACCATTGTGGAACATTTGCAGGTACAGAAAGAGGTAAACAAAACAAAACCATAACTCCATCACTCCTGTTAACATTTCAGAGTTGTTCCTTGCAGCCTTTTTTTCCCCTTCCTTCCAGCCTTTTTACATTTTTAATATATTTTTTTAAACATTTTTATTTATTTATTTATTTGACAGAGAGAGTGAGCAAGCGAGAGTGAGTGTACAAGCAGGCAGAGCAGCAGAGGGAGAGGGAGAGTGGGTTTCCTGCTGAGCAGGGAGCCCCATGCAGGCCTTGATCCCAGGACCCTGGAATCAGGACACGCTTGGTGCCTGTCCGCTGTGTGCCCGAAGGCAGATGCTTAACCAACTGAGCCACCCAGGTGCCCTTAGCCTTTTTATTTTATTTTATTTTTTAAAGATTTATTTATTTATTTATTTTTAAAGATTTTATTTATTTATTTGACAGAGAGAGATATAGCGAGAGCAGGAACACAAGCAGGGGGAGTGGGAGAGGGAGAAGCAGGCTTCCTGCTGAGCAGGGAACCCGATGTGGGACTCGATCCCAGGACCCTGGGATCATGACCTGAGCCGAAGGCAGACGCTTAACGACTGAGCCACCCAGGCGCCCGCCCTTAGCCTTTTTAAAAATTTTTTTAGGTTTATTTATTTTTAGTAATCTCTACACCCAGTGTGGGGTTGAACTCACGTCACCGAGATCAGGTGTCGCACACTCTTCTGACTGAACCAGCCAGGCCCCAGTTCTTAATTTCTTTTGGCCTCAGTTCTCTCCCCTATAAAATGGGGCAACAGTGCCTACCTTCAAGGGCATTTGAGGGTTGAGAGAGCCTGAAGGACCAGAGCGCCCCACAGTAGGTGCCCAGTAAATGACACACCGTCCTGCCTAACAACGGAGCGGGTGCTGTTCCGTATCCTGTATTTCGTGTTTGTCATGAGCATTATCATAGGTCTATAGGCCTTTTGTAAACATCTTTCAGGACTTGTATTCCATCATTAGGATATCCTGTAACTTCTTTAAGAATTCCCTTATTGTAGGTGTTTAGTTCCAGATTGAGGCTTTTTTTCCATGGCCAATTATAGTAATTATTATTTTCATAATTAAGAACACCTTCAATATCCCCTGTCATTAAGAGCCGAAACAAATTAGGTTTTTGAACCACAGCTTCATGATGGCTGAGGTGGTTGCAGAAAACGGGCTCCTTGACACGGCCCTTGTGTACGAGTAATTGCCGTGTTCAAGTGGAACGCCAGTGGGCGTTTCTGGGTCTGGCTTCAAATGTGCCCCAGGGCCCGGGAGCAGGAGGTTCTCCTCTCTTTTGTCTGCTGGTGTTTGAGACCCTTTGGGATATTAGGCATTTGAAGAGCTGAAGCCCCAGCTTTGGGTCAGCTCCAGCTCTGCCCTCAGGGAGTTCCTGTTCCAGTCGGGAGACAGACACTGAAACCAATAAACGCAGTCTTTTGTGTTCGACGCCCTGGGGGCTGGAGTCAGTGCTTTTCTGGTGAGGGTGTGGGTCAGAGGGCTCAGGAGAGGAGGGTGCTGCGGCTGAGTCTGGAAAGATGGGCACGTTCGCTTGGGTTCTTTGGTGGAGAGAGGACTGGAGTCTGGACACATGTAGCAGCAGGATCAGCAGGTAGGAGGCAGTAGGCAATGGCTTTGAACGTTCTGGCACTTGCTAGAATTGGTTGTGGCTGGACCTAAGGAGGAGGCCGCGTGGTATGACGGGGAACAGGGGCTGTGTGCCATGTCGTCTTCCTCTCTGGGTCTCCAGTACCCCAACAGTGCCTGGATGAGGGTGGACCCTTGGTGTGTGGAGGCCGAATGCTTTCATGAAGAACCTCAGCTGCAGTTCTAGCCCATATCTCTCAGGCTGTGTGGCAGAGTTCTGCGAGTTGGTTCATCTAGGGATGTGCAGACATGCTGGAACATACCGCGCGTGCTGATATCCGGGAGGCCTCTGCTGCCTGAGAGATGAGTGATGCCTGCCAGGAGGTGCCAGGAGAAAAGTCTGAGCTCAGGATTAATTGGCTCTGAAACCAGTCCTGTGATTTGTACCTGGATGTGGTTACAGAGACTTCTAATTGCAGTCACTGAGCTAATAAGCCAGCCGGCCCAAGGGCATCTGAGGTCTGATCCTCCAGAGTGGGATGTGTGCTTTTGTTGGAGCAGTGAGCCGCTCATGGACAGCCCCGGCACCCGCAGGTGTGCTCCGAGTTCCCGCAGGCCTGACTCATCCATCGCCCGCGTTCTCATGCTGTGTGTGTAGCTCAGTGCCGCCCTGGGCCACCGCTTCTCCCCCAGACTTGAAGGGTGGGGATGGAGGTCTTGGCATGGCAGGGGGTGGGGCAGAGCAGGGAAGGGGAAGGAGGACAGGCTTGGCGGCTATCTGCTGTGTGCCTGGCGCTGTGCTGGGTGCTCTGTACAGAGCTATCGGAACACCAGTGAAAAGCACTGAGAACAGATGTTAGTATCATCATTTTTAGGTGGGAGAAAGCAAACTTGGAGAACTCAGGTACTTTCGTCAAGATGATACAGTGGGTAGAGTAAGCCCGTGCCTGTTTATTTTCATGCACTGCTCCAGATCTGCCTGCCTTGTGGGGCAGGTGTCAAGTCTTCTCGAAACCTTGGTGGTGCAGTGCTGTCCCAGGGACATGAGCCTTATTACCAGCTGTGTAAGCAAGTCACCGCCACTCTCTGGGCCTCGGTTTCCTCATCTGCAAAATGGGGAGACAGTTCAGTGTCTGTACCTGAGGGGTTTGTGTAGGAATCAGAGCAGATGGTGTAACTGGGAACCCTGGGCCCTGGGGGACGTGCTCTAACAGTTGAGGTGCTCAGGACTCGGGATGGAGTCTCCTCTCTCCTCCCTCCTTTCTCAGAGGGGCCTGAAAGGGGAGCCCAAATTAGAGTCGGGCTGAGCTTTCCTGTCCAGGAAATGGGCATTAGCACTGGGTTGATCTGGGTTTGTTCTCTGCTGTCACTTAGCAGTATTTGTGTGCCCTTCAATAAGACCTTGACCTCTTTTGAGCCTTGTCATAAAGTGGAAGTACCGCCTTGTGGGTCTGTTAGGCATACATGAGACAAGTATATTTGGCGTTTGTCACTAAATTGGTCCTGTTCCTCTGGTACTCTGGGGGCCTGACACGGTACAGTGCCTTCACAGTGTAGTGCTCTTCTCCAAACAGCTGCGGGCTACTTCCCATGCAGCTGTGTTTTGAACTAATATGTATATAACACTTAGGACAAGGCCTCTGCTGGGGCTGGCAATATGACTGTGGACAAGGCAGATGCCCAGCTTGGTGCTGTCTGGAGGGGCAGTAAGATCTGGAACGTCATCCTACCCATACGTGTCTATAGGCATCAGAGTTCTGGTCAGTGCTGCAAGGGAGAAGCTCACATGATGGGCAGCCAGGGAAAGCCTCCCTGAACCACGCAGCCTGGGCCTCAAGGCTGAGTAGAGTTGACAAGGGAGGAGGATGGGCTGGGGTGGCCGGGAGAGGAACGTCTCAGGAGATGGATGCAAACCCTCTGGGCCTGACCAGTGGTCAGCGAGGTCCAGACTGGGGTGCAGAGAGGCCAGGCTTCAGCATCTGTGAGATTTTAATGTTTATCTAGGGTACCCTTTGTGGCTAGTGATGCCTCCTGAAGCAGCCTGGAGACCTGGGCGGAGCTAGGATTGTGCTTTGAGTCCCAGCTCTGCCGTTGACCCTCTGGGTGTCCTTGAGCCCTCCCCCTCCCCAGTCCTTTCTGAGACACAGGTTTTTCCCATCTGTAGCATAGCAGGTGTCTCACAAACAAATCCGCTTTGGAAACAGTAGAGTGTCCACCACATAGTGTAAGTGAGGGGTCACTACAGCCTCAGTGCACGAGGGATTTGGGCTTATTCATGAAAACACAGGATGAAAGGATATACTCAGTAGTTAGGTCACAGGGAGATGATTGGTAAAAAGAAGCTGGACCGGTGATTAGCACCCAGGACTCACTCCGCTGAATCTCCATGAACATTCGCAGAGGCAGGTAGGATGCTTGATTAACTGAATTCTTCCTGGCTGCCTGAGCAAAGAGACAGGATCAGGTACTAGACTCACAATGCTCTTAAGGTATTAGGGGGAAAAGGTAATTGTGGAAAAGTAGAAATTTTTTCCCCTCTGAGGCTGACTCTTGGGGACGCTCTCTGCATTGGTAACTGTTTGTCCTATTTACAGGTCTTCTGGAAGCACTGGGCAATGACCCCGAGACTCCAGCCCAGAGTGGTCTGAAACTGTTTGGGAAAGCAGAGGGAGTCCTGGGGAAGATGGCCATGGCCCCAAGCCCTTCCGTGGCACAGGTGTACGCCAGCCCCATGGCGGTGGCTGTGTGGGAATGGCAGGACGGGCTGGGCACCTGGCACCCCTACAGTGCCACCGTCTGCAGCTACATCGAGCAGCAGTTCATCCAGCAGAAAGGCCAGCGCTTCGGGGTGGGGAGCCTGGCCCATAGCATCCCCTTAGGCCAAGCTGACCCCTCGCTGGCCCCTTACATCATTGACCTCCCCAGCTGGACCCAGTTCCGCCAGGACACTGGTAAGACACTTCCTGCCTCGTACGTGTTGGAGCGCCCGCGTTGGGGTTATATATAGCAGTGACTCTCAGAGCTTCGTCCTGTCCCTGAAACGTGCTCAGTTGGGAGGCAGGTGCTGTGAGTCGTACGGGTACCACAGTGTGAGATGTACCTCTCAGTAGGAGGGAGTGTCTTGAGAGCACAGTGCAGGGGCCCTCCCAGCTCCTTGCCCCTTGTTTCCCAAACCCAAAATACCTGCTTCTACCTGAAGAGGTTGGAGGATCTTGCGGACAGGCCAGCATGGAGGTAGTGTGCTAGTAACGAGGGCCTGGTGATGCGTCCTGCCTCCACTGCACATGTCTGTGTGACCTGGTTACACAGGTTACTGCACTCTCCCACGTGCTCATGTGTGGGTTTTGTGTGTTTTGATCAGTATTACTGAGAATGGAACCACCAACTTCCTCCTGGAGCTGTGCCTTGTCCCTCTAACCCAGGGGTTCTCAACTGGAGGTGTTTTTTTCCCCCCAGGACATGTGACAGTGTTTGGAGACATTTTTGATGGTCACAAACATGAGGCAGTGAGCCACTGGCTCTGGTCAGTAGAGGCCAGGGATGCTGCAAAAACGCATAGGACTGGCCCCCGTGCCAAAGAATTCTGGGCCCAGGATGTCACTGGTGCTGGGACTGAGAAACGCTACTCTGATCCCTACGGCAGGGTTCTTGGGTGTGTGAGGGCTAAGGCTTCCAATCAGTTGGATGCAGAGGGAAGTCCCTGCCTTCCTGATGTTTGCAGTCCGCTGAGCAAGGCAGCAAACAAGATACATAATGTGGAAACTGTGTATTGCATTAGGTCGCAGTGAGTGTTAATCAGGCAATGGGACCGTAAAGTGTTGGGAGAGATCGAAGTTTGAACTCAGGTGGCCAGGTCACCAGGAAGGAACGAAGACAGACCCGAGGGAGGAGCAGGTTGTCCCTTGAAGGGACATTGGCTTTTATTCTGAAAGGGGGAGTGGTGGGAGGATGTGGGCAGAGCAGTGCTGTAATCTGATTTGGAGGTGAAGAGCATCCCTCTGGCTGCCAAGAGAGGCAAGGGTGGAGGTCAGGAGACCAGCAGAAGCGAATTGCGGTGATCATCTTTTGGCAAGTGCTATTGGAAACATGGCCCAAATTCGTTTTCTTCTTTTTCTCCATAATCTTCAGGTTCAGCTTATTAAGAATATAAGCTAACCACAGGGTTGTCACTTGAGAAGTCAAAGGGAATGGTACATCCATGTAAGGGACTTATGTAACCGTGAATAATGAGTTTTATAAAGTTTAAGAGACGTAAGAAATACTCCCTCATACGAGAGAACAGCCCAAAAAGTTTTCGGTGTGATCGTCAGCTCCCCAAGTGTACGTGCGTAGGAGACCAGATGGGAAGAAATGCATGGCAATAGAAGCTGTGTGGTAGGTCTTGATCGTTGGATTATGGACGGTTTAATTTTCTTTATATTTTTTTCAGTTTTTTTTTTTTTTAAGTGGGGCTACATATTTTTCATCACTAGAAATATTTTGAAAAAGCCTGGAGTCTGAGCCATAGCTGTTCTTTGACCCAAGTTCCCAGCATAGGAGCATAGGTTCCCCTCTGCCACTAGATCCCTGTGGGCCCAGTTTCTGTCTTTTTTTTTTTTTTTTTTTAGATTTTATTTATTTGAGAGAGTACGCGTTTGAGTGAGCACGAGCTAGGGGGGAGGGGCAGAGGGAGAGGGAGAAGCAGAAACCCCACTAAGCAGGGAGCCCAACTCGGCCTTGATCCCAGGACCCTGAGATCCTGGCCTGAGCTGAAGGCAGATGCTCAACCAACTGAGCCACCCAGGCGCCCCCCCCACCCCCACCTAGTTTTTTTACCTAGAGGGAGCTTTCTGCCCTTTCTACCCAAAATTTGGAAAGCATAACTGGTGCCAGTCTGAAGGTCAAATTGCAGCATGACCCTATGCACACTGCGACCATGTTGATTTATTTTGGTTGTAGAAAGAGAATTTTTAAGCTCCTTCCGTTTTGGGGGACTAGCAGATTCACCATTTCTGTGTCTGCCTCCTCTTTGAACAGGTACCATGCGGGCTGTGCGGAGACACCTGTTCCCCCAGCACTCAGCCCCCGGCCGGGGCATCGTCTGGGAATGGCTGAGTGACGATGGTTCCTGGACGGCTTATGAAGCCAGTGTTTGTGACTTCCTAGAGCAACAGGTGGCCAGGGGCAGCCAGCTTGTAGACTTGGCTCCCCTGGGTTACAACTATACTGTCAACTACGCCACCCACACGCAGACCAACAAGACTTCGAGCTTCTGCCGCAGCGTGCGGCGCCAAGCAGGACCCCCGTACCCGGTGACCTCCATCATTGCTCCACCGGGCCACACGGGAGTCGCCTGCTCTTGCCATCAGTGCCTCAATGGCGGTGGAACTGGCCCGGTGTCAGGCCGCTACCGCCACTCCATGACCAACCTCCCTGCGTACCCTGTCCCCCAGCCCCCCCACAGGACTGCCATTGTCTTTGGGGCCCACCAGGCCTTTGCCCCGTACAACAAGCCCTCGCTCTCTGGGGCTAGGTCTGCACCCAGGCTGAACACCACCAACCCCTGGGGTGGGGCGCCACCCTCCCTGGGGAACCAGCCTCTTTACCACTCCAGCCTCTCCTACCTGGGACCGCAGCACCAGCCCCCAGGATTGTCCACTGCCAGTGGAGCCAGGTATCTCATGTTATTGAGGGTCCGTTTGTCCACCCGTGCGCCGTGTCAGCAGGCTTGGGTTTCTGCTCTTATTTAGCTGGGAAGACACGCCCAAATAGCTGCAGGCCTGGGCCCTGCCTCCTTGGCTGTTCCTGCTGTGGCATCTGGTGCCCAGGTGCCGGCCTTGCACAGCCTTGCCTTGCATGGAGCCTACCTGACCTCCGGTACCTGAGTGCTGGTAGTTGCCTCGTGGGTTCGAAACAGCAGTGCCTTCATTCACTCAGAAGAGTCAGGCTCTCTGTAGAGCAGGTAAAGGCCTTTGAGCTGCGCTTGCGTGCCACATAGCTCTGCTGTGTACCTGAGGATGCGTCATTGACTTCTCTCTGCCGGGCACTGAAGACACAGAGGCAGAAAGTTCATTCCGCTCCCACTTGGCCAGGGGAATGCCCTGAGCCCAGTTTGGGTGCTTAACGGTTGAGGAGGGAGCAAAATGCTGTGTGTGGCGGGTGGCAATAGGTGGCTTGCACGCTGGTGCGATCAGCCCAGTGTCTTGTAGAGCTCTCTGCGCCTGGAGGAGGATGGTGAAATGGGCCCCACCTGGACCCCGGAGGGCACCGAACAGTCAGGGGAGCTGTGGAGTGGCCAGTGGGGGGTGTTCCTGGGGTGCCCGGAGACCTATCGCTAACGAGGGGACTCATCAGGCTGCGTTATTGAAGGCGTTGGGCTTCTGAATGTTAGCCGGGATGGGGGCTGGTTTCTGAGAGGGTGACCGGTCACTGGACATGTGGGCCTGTCCAGGGCCTGTGGCTGCCCTGCCCCTCTGTTGGGTTGGACTGATGTCGGCCTCTAGCATTTTTTTTTTTTTTTAAGATTTTTATTTATTTGACAGAGAGAGACACAGTGAGAGAAGGAACACAAGCAGGGGGAGGGGAGAGGGAGAAGCAGGCTTCCCGCGGAGCAGGGAGCCCGATTTGGGGCTCGATCCCAGGACCCCGGGATCATGACCTGAGCCGAAGGCAGACGCCCAATGACTGAGCCACCCGGGCACCCCGGCCTCTAGCATTTTTTAAAGCTGGGTTTCAGAGGACCCTGCCAGCTTCTCTTTATAAGACACGGCGGCGACTGCCGTTCACTGAGTGCACATAGCTGGGCTGTGTGAGTGATTTCAGTAATCCTTGTAATGGCCACCTGCTAGGTGGTGTCCTCAGCTTATGGGTGAGCATGCTGAGGTTGGCAGGACCGCCAGCAAGTGGCAGAGCTGGGAGTCAGCCCAGGCCCCAGAGCAGGCCGTGAGGGACACACGGAGATCTTGAAGCTCTCTTAAAGGCAGAGTGAGGGGAAGGCAGAGACTTCCTGAGGGATGAGTGTGGAGGAGTCCATAGACAGGAGGAGGGTGGGTCAGGGCATCTTCCTGGGCATCTTCTCCTTCAGAGATTGGGGCGGGGCATGTGAACCTGAGGTCTTTCTGGGAATGGGGCAACCGGAGCTTTTACTTGGCCTTCTCCCTGGATTTTCGCATAGGCGTTAGCAAGCAGGGCTCTGTGCTGTCTCAGCCCCACCCAGTGTTCTGTGAGGCCCCCTCCAGTATGTGGGTCAGAATCTTTCAGAGAAAAGTATGCTGTCTGCTAGCCCAGAATGGTTATCAGCAGGGCTAGAGCTTCTCTTCTACTAGGTCAGTTTTGCTGAGCCTCCTAGGGCTTCTTAAGTTCTTACAAATTATTTTGAGGCACATTTCTAGATAGTTCTAGAGCTGGGATTCTGGGATGGAGCCAGGTGACTTAATTAATGGGCTTTGTTGCTTTCTCCTGGTACGGCCCTTCCATTGGTCTCCCCTGATACTTCTCTGGCATCCCCCCTCCCCCACCTGAGGGCCTGAGAGACTGCCAGAGTGGGCCCTACTGGTACAGGCCAGGCAAGTTACAGAAGGGAAGGTGGCTGGGCCACATGGTCTTCCCTTTGCTTCTGGGCTATGCGTGTTGCTACTTGCCCTGCTTGCCTTGGTTGTAAGTCAGGAAGGGAACCAGGCCAACTGGCTCTGTTAGTTGAAACCGCCTCAAAGGGGCCTGCTTCATGAGGTGGGTGTTCATCTTTATCTCCTCCAGCTTTTCAGGAGCTGGGAGAGGTACGGTTCACTCGCGTGGGCCTATCCCTCCCTGTTTTGAAAAACAGGGTTGCCCCATGTTTTATTTGTAGGGCGGCCCTTTTCAGTTAACCCCTTTCTGATGGGTGTTGTAGAGCCTGGAGGGGGCTTAATGAATACCTGGCCTCTTGACCCAACAGAGCCAGGAGAAGCGAAAACACTTGTCACCTTGGTCTCCCTAGGGGCCGTGGTATGGTTCTCCAGGCTGAATGAATGTCAACTGTGTTAGGTGGAAATTTCCCAGAGGGCGTCAGGGCTGGTGGCACCATGGGCTGGGAAAGTCTGGGAACCCGCCATATTTACTGGTAGCCACTGGAAGGAACATGAGAGTGAGCAAAATAAAAATTTGTGAAACCCATGTGGTTTCAGATCGCTTCTTGCTCAACCTGGGTAAAACCTGTTGGACTTCCCTGTGCCCTGGGAGGCTTTCTGAGTAGATGGTAACAGACTGAGCTGCTGGGTTGAAGAAAATTTCCTGGTAGCTAAACTTTATCCCTTTAAGCACCAAAACTTGTGTTTTAATGATGTTGAACTGAAAGCTTTCCAAAATGTGTCATGCATACTCTTGTCTTCTTTAGTAGAGGGTGTGGTGGCTTAATGTTTTGATGACTTGAGGTGGTGATTGTGACCCTGAGTCTGTGGCAGCTTTGGCGTGGCTAGGCCTTGGGGCTGCTTGAGCCTGTCCTGAGTGGTCCTAGGACATGGCTCTCCCAGTTTGCTTCCATCTGCTCCATTCTTGCTGCTGCTGTTCTCCCAGCCTCTAAAAGCATGCCTTCCTGCTGTCTGCCTGGCTTGCATGCTCAGAGTCCTGGGCCCGGGGCAGAGGTGGGGTGGGAGTGGGGGCGGGGGGCGGGGGTTTCCTCCTGACTGGCTCTAGGCCTTTGGGTCAGCTCTTTTCCCTTCCCATGTCTCTCCTTTGCCCTCCTAAGATTAAGGAGTTGGGCTGGGAAGTCTGAAGTTTCCTTTTGCTCTACTATTGTGGTTTTTGGGATTTCCATGGGGGCCCTGCGGGAAGGTGCCTGGTGGCCCTTCAGTTTTCCTGTATATATCCCCTTGACCCCTCTGAGAACAGGGTAGCAGTGGACATTTGTATTGGGCTGCAGATTAAGCCTCATAACCAGCCAGGGGGCCTTTTGTAATTATTCTCATCTTACGGATAGAGAAATTGAAGCTCAGAAAGGGAACTTGACCTGCCGAGGGCACGCCGCTTGAATCCAGAGGGGGTGCTGTAAGGGGGGGGTCTAGACCCCACATCTGGTGCTCCTTGTACAGCACCTGCTGTCAGGGCTTGCTCGTTGGTGCTGGCTCGCTGGCCTGTAGGGAGCTGGTGGGAGGCTTTGTGTTTCCTTGCTCCAGCCTCCCAGCTCTGCCCCTTGCCTGGGACTGCCACATATGTCTTCGTAGAACACTGGAAGTCTTCACGTCTCATGTTCTGAGCTCCATCTGGAAGCTCCTGGAGATAGTTCCAGACAGGAGAGCCAGGTTGGGCCTAGTAGGTAGACCCACGAATGGGAGGCCGTGACTGGAAGGAATTCTCATAAGGGCACTCCTTGGGGCGAATAGTGCCCATGTTGGGGAACATTCTGCCCGTTTGGGCCCTTTGAGGATGGTGGAGGGGGATCGGTGACCTCCGAGGTTCCGTCCACCCTGAGAGTCCCCATCTTGGGAACCGCTGGGTCCTTTTACTGCTCTCATCACTGTAGGGAAACATCTGGGGGAGGAACTGGGATGAGTGATAGGGGAAGTGGCAACAGTGTGAGACCCACAGAACTTAGTCACAGTTCCTGGCCCCAGTTCCAGGGTGAGCTTCCTAGTGGGAGCCTTAATGGCCTGTCTGCTTTCTGCTCCAAGTCTTGGTGGTAGAACCTAAGGCCTTCTCCTTTAGATATGTGCCTCTCCCCAGCAAAGGAGGACCCCACTTCTGGGACCCCTTCTGGGCCAGCGATGAGTAGCCCACTAACTTGGGGGAGTTGTCGAGCCAAGCTTCAGCTTTCCGGCTTCCTGGCTGAGGGCTCAAGCTCCATGTCCCCCGTAGAGCTGGCTTGGGAGATGAAGGATGCCTGGAAGGGCTCTGTCTTCTGGAACTCCTTCACTTCTAGGACCTGAGAATTGCAAAGACCGTCAGAGATTATCTACTTTCCTTTTAAAAACCAAAGTGGAGATTATCTACTTTCCTTTTAAAAACCAAAGTGGAGAGACAGGCTCAGGAAAGGGGGAGGTGGTTGCTCCGACTTAAATGGTTTAGTGGGGCCAAAAGCTTAGTTAGCCCAGGTGTTCTGAGCGCCCAGCTCTTCCATTGCCCTATCAGAGCTCTCCAGGGCCAGGTCCCTTGTTCTCTAGGGCTTGAGAGTAGCTGAGGAGGGCAAGTGTCATACGGGTGATTCTCTTTGGGGAGAACGATCCGGAAATGAAAACAAAACAACCTCTTTGCTCAAATACGTACTGGAGCGCCTGCTGTGCTCACAACCCCGTGCAGGGGGACCCTGGCAGCTTCAGCACCAGCTGAGTGTTAGGTTCTGGTTTGGATCAGAACTGGCCAGCTCCCTGTAGGTTCCACCAGCAGGATCTGTGCCCCCCGGGACTGGTGGTGAGGAAGGATCTGGGGCAGTTTCCAGAAGCACTCACCATAAACCAGGCAGGTTGTTGGTTTGCTGGCAGCTGCGAGGGTTGTACAGGAGATCGGAGCTGTCCATCATTTCCTGAGCACCTTCCCCGCTCCAGGCTAGGCCCAGTGGAACAGACTAATGCAGCCTGGCCCTATCCTTGGGGAGCTCCGGTGTAGGGACTATGCGAAAGGGTTTCATAACCCTTCTGGTGTCACCATCCTTAACGTGGGCAGGGATGGACGGGAAGACACAGGAATTGGGGTGGCAGGTCGGCGGCGGGGGGCGGGGGGTGTTTGCCAGTCATCTCAGGCCATCTACAGCAACCATTCTCCAGCCGGGGGGGGGGGGCTTCCCCCAAACCATAGTGGCATAGATTTATTATCACTTGAAAAATATAATGGCTTAAAACCAAATGAATGACCCAAACATAGTTACTGTGGGAAGGAAGACCCTTATTTAAAAAAACAAACAAAAAAACCCCTTACTTTTGAACTAATTTTAGATTTACAGAAAAGTTACAAAAATAGTACAGAGAGTTTCCATCACTCCCTTCCTTGACTTACCTTGTAAAGCCAGACAATTGCCATCATGGGGGCATTACTGTTAACCAAGGACTTTTCTCGATTTTCACTTTGTCCACTGCTGCTCCCGTTCTGTCCCAGGATCTTGTGGGATCCTGCCTCACATCCAGTTGTCTCCTCCCCATCCTCCCTTTAGTAGGAGTTCCTCCGTCTTTATCGTCCATAACCTTGACACTTTTGAAGAGTTACTTTGTCGAATGTCCCTTAATTTGGGCTAGTCAGTTGCTTTCTCATGCTTGAGGTTATGCAGTTTTGGCAGGAACCACAAAAGTGTTATGTCCTCAGAGCACCATTTCTTGGGGTTGCTGGTATTGATTGGTCATATTACTGGTGATATTGGTCTGGAGTATGTGTTAGAGTGGTTTCTGCCGGATTTCCCTCTCTAGGTACCGTAGAGCTCTCATTCTGACAAAGCTAGTGAGCTCAAAATTTTTTTTTTTTTTAAAGATTTTATTTTATTTATTTGACAGAGAGATAGAGAGCACAAGTAGGCAGAGCGGCAGGCAGAGAGGGAGAAGCAGGCTCTCTGCTGAGCAGGGACCCCGACGCGGGGCTCGATCCCAGGACCCCAGGATCATGACCTGAGCCAAAGGCAGCCGCTGAACCGACTGAGCCACCCAGGCGCCCCAAGCTCAAAATTCTTTTAGGATTGTCTTCAGAATCTGAATTGCCCAGGAAAACCTTTTTTTTTTTTTTTTTTTTAACGCTTAAGGCTTCCTTCTTGATCACTTGTAAACTTCTGAGTCTCACCCTAGCACTGTTCTTTCCCATCAGGGCTCTGGCCCCGCCTGCCAATGCTCCCCCGCCTCTTCGCCTGGCTTGGAGTTTGACTCTCTCTACTTGATTTTGGCCGGGGTGGTGGGCCAGGCTGTGGGCTTCACATCCTCAGTATTCAGCTTCTCTAGGTTAGTTTGGGTCTGGGCGTGGTGAAATTCAGATTTCTTTGCTCCTCTTTCCAGATATCAGGGTCTTTAAAAAAAAAAAAAAAAACAACACAACAACCCAGAAGTCCTCGCTCACACAGAGGTGGCCATGCAAAGTGAAGTTCTGAAGGGGCCCCAGCACCACCAGCGTTTTCACATCTTGGGCTGGCTCTGGCTCTGGTTTCTGCTAAGTTGGCTCCTACATTCAGCTTTGTTCTCTCTTCTCCCAAAGTGCCTCCCTCCCCAGCGGTCCTGCGAGCAGCCCTGGGAGCATCCCCGCTGCGGTGCCCATGCAGATGCCGAAGCCCAGCCGGGTCCAGCAAGCCCTTGCAGGTAGGCACCTTGCTGGGTCCTGGGTTCCAGAACAGGCTGTGTCTGGCGGGGCAGGACGTAGAGGGTGTGGGAGAATGTGTGGGCCGGGGAGGAGACTGTGGGGTGGGGGTCTTGTTACTCTCTCTGTTCTCACGGAAAGCCACAGTGGCTCCATGGGGGGGGGCGGTCAGTGCCTCTTTGCCATGATGGCGTACCCTCAGTGAGTGAGCCTGTCACTCGGGAGGCGGCCTGCCTGATGACAGTGGGTACCCTGGTGTGGACCTTTCCCCATCTTTGAAATTTCTACATCACTTTTTTTTTAATAAAGATTTTATTTATTTATTTGACAGAGAGCCGGAGAGAGCGTGAGAGAGAACATAAGCAGGGGGAGGGGCAGAGGGAGAGGGAAAAGCAGGCTCCCCACTGAGCAGGGAGCCTGATGTGGGGCTTGATCCCAGGACCCTGGGATCATGACCTGGGCCACAGGCAGATGCTTAACCGACTGAGCCACCCAGGCGCCCCTGCACGTCACCATAATTATGGTTTGAGTCACTTGTCCGTCCTGAAATGCTTTACGTATTTCCCTGAAGGGGCCCTCGGGGGAACTCAGCTGTTTTGGCTGGAGTTCTGCTTTGAATAAGTGGTTTTGTGTCCACTTCGATCTTTTGTTAACCATACACCTTTGAACTGTTTTTAAAATTCCTTTTATAGGTTAGGGAGTTACTGAAAATTACTTTTTAATGAGTGGGAAAGGCCAAATGTCATAGAAAGATAGGGGGAGTGTAGTGAGGTTGAAGCAGGAGAATAAGATAACCCAAGTCTGTGTGTTAAGTGAGTCACTGTAGTAGCACAGTGGGGTTCGAGGGGACAGGCCTGGAGCAGGGAGACCCGTGCAGAGCCCGACTCCATGGCTCAGGGGAGCTAGCCAAGGGCCTGACTCGGGCCTCGGCGGTAGTGGAGGTAAAAGCTTCTGACTTGGTGACTAGGTGGGTCAAGAGAAGGAATGGAGTGAGGCCCGGTGTGCGGCTGAGGCACTAAGGAGGGGTTTTGTGTGTATCTTCCTTCATTTTTTCCCAGTAACAGCTCTGCGAGGTAGGAACTTTTATTCCTTATTTTATACTTGAGGAAACTGAGCCTCAGAGAGTTCCAGAAACTTCTCAAGATCAGCCGGCCAGCCCTTGGCAGAGCTGGGACTCAGCCCCAAGCATTCTGGGCTCCAAAACCTAGGTTCTCAGCAGTTACACTGTGCCATTCCCCAGTCCGGTGGGAGCACGTAGAGGGGCAAGGGCGGCGGGCGCTGCTGGGTCGTACCTGGGCGGAGCTGTCCTGGAGGCAGTGGGCGTTTGGATGTGCAGCTCAGAAGAGCAGTCTAGGGCGGAATGGGGTGACCTCTGCCCCCCATGGGGAGGATGTATGAGCTTACAGAGACTGCAGGTAGGATGCTGGGAAGAGAACTGGAAGGAGATGGAGGGACCAGTCAGAGAGGTGGGAGAAGATGGGAGAGTGGGGCCCTCTGGAACCTGCTTCAGCTGCTCAGCCATCAGCCCCGTGCCGGGGCAGAGAGAACAGTGAGCAGACATGTGGTGATTGCAAAGTTCCCACCCAGTTGAGGTCTTCATGTGGTACCAGCTGAGTCAGACCCGTGCGTGCACGCATGGGGTGGTGATCTTATTGGAGAAAGGTTGTGGGTGACCAGGCGTAGCCGGCACGAGGCTGAGCTCCATTCAGCTCTGTAATCACTAAGGCTAAAATACAGATGCTATAAAAACCTTTCTAAACGCAGCTCAGAAGTGTTCTGGGGCTCGAGTTGCACTTGCTCCCTTTCCTATGCTCCTGAGGCTGAGGACCCTTTTAGTCTGTGGCCCAGAGTGTCCTTAGTGTCCCCCATCCCCTTGGCTCTCAGATCAATCCTGGAGGTAGGTGGGTCTTTTAACCTCCTTTTTATTCACTGGGGAAATTTGGGGATCTCGGTCCCAGCCAGCAAGGAGTGGAGACTGGAGCTCATGGCCAGATGCCACCTCCTCTGAACACAGGCTCTGCCTTGCACCTGCCAGTGGGACCCTAGTCTCAGGTGCCAGGGAAGGAGAGATCCCAAGCCAGCCCCCAGGAAGTAGGGTCTGGAGAATGTCTTCTTTCCCCGGGCCATGTTAACGGATTCGGGAATACTCAGGCCGCCATTGAGGGACGTGGGGTTTTGCAGGTAGGTTTACAAAGCAGTGGTCACGCTGTGGAAGGACTGGGTACCCTCTACGCGGGCAGAGGAAGGCCATGGAGGAGCCGCCTCCTGTCAGGCCAGCAGTGCCTCAGGTGACAGCTTCCCTGGCCACGGCCGGGCCCAGCCCTCCCCTCGGAGTGTCTGTGTTTCACGCTGCTGCAGCCCCCCCAGGGCCGGGCAGCCAGGGTCGAGTGGAGCTGGGACCCAGCTCGGTCAGGCCGGTCAGAGGACAGGGGGACCGGAGCTCCGGTGTCCGAAAGGAGATGTCTGCACATCTGACTGCTGCAGGGCCTCTCTCTGGGGGTCTGGCGGAGAAGTGGGCACCCTCTCAGATAATTGGGGTTGCTGTGGCCGTGCGAGCTTGGGGGGCTGTCCCTGAGCCCTGCTGTTGGGAAGTTGTGATGGCCCACTCATGGCGTTTCCCGCCCCCCCCCCCCCGCAACCCATCCTGTCCAGTGGATGTTGCTTTTGCAAAGTGTAGGTGTGGGGTGATTTTCACACTTTCCCGCAAGAAGGCCGACGCACGGAGCAGGGGCTCCTGCTCTGCAGGCTTCTAAGTTGAGACTTCTGTGTCTGTGACTTGAATTCAGGGGAGGGGTCCTGCATCGACGAGGGCAGAAGCGTTGTTCATGCTGGCCTCAAAGAAGCCACCCGGCAGCATTCAGGGGGATCTTGGTTCCCCAGCAGACAGGTGCTGTGCACCTCCTGTGACCGGACCCTGCCCTTGGTGCTCGGTGCAGGGAAGACAGCAGTCATAACACCCAGATGCGAGTCCTTTCATGTAGTAAAGAACGCTAAGCAGGGTAAAGGAGACACAGACGGAGGGGGACGTGGCCCTTTTAGATGGGGTGGTCGGGGAAGGGCTGTCTCGTAGGTGACGCTTGGAGAGAGGTCTGGTTGAAGTGGAGCAGAGAGTGTTGGGGGAGGAGGTCATGGTCAGTGCAGAGGCGCAGGGTTCTACTAAAGCATTGTTCCCGTCCCCTCCATACCCTCCATCGTTGTGCCCCCGCCCCTCCCCCGTGCCTGCTTGTCATTCGGTCTGCCTGACATCTAGTTCAAACCTACTTTGGAGCTCAGGAGCAACCAACCTTGAGATGCTGGTGGCATCACATTGCCTGATGAGTGAGTGCCCGGGGTGCAGCCTTGGTCTTCCGATGTGTGCTTTGGTGTCTTTTGCGAGTGGCCACCACAGCGCCCCCTCCCACCTCTGCTGTGCTGCCCAGGCTGCTGGCTGGCCTCTGCTTCTGTCCCCGACTGGGCACATTTGCCACATTGAGTCTTTGTTCTTCGAGGCCACAGTGGCTGGCCCATCCAGGATCTCTGCTTTCTGCCCTGGGTTGCCCTCGGTACCCAGCCCCTGAGCCTGATACTGAGTGCTCGGAAAGTCTTCCTCGGGGAGCCCAGAGCTCTCTTGCCCTGTGGAGGAGGTGTTACTGAGCTAGACGGAGGGCAGGGAGGATTGGGTGGGTGGTGCTGTGGACAGCAGGGCAGGCTGAAGGTGTGGCAGGAATAGGGGCTCCCACGGGAGGACATGCTGGGTTCCCGGGAAGTATTGGGTCCTCAGGGAGTGCCAAGGGAGCAGCATGGGGTGAGGGTCCAGCTATAGCATGTGTGGAACACCAGGCTGAGGAGTGAGGCCTTCCCCCTGTGGGTGTGCCCACGGTGCTACCCTCCAGGACAGAGAAGGCTTGTTTGAGCCTTGACTGAGGGCGCTAGAGAAGGCCCGGGACCATTGCTGCTCCAGAGGATCGGCCACAGGGGCCATGGGGAGGCCTTAGTCGGGGAGCAGGCCCCGGGGCCAGCATTCTGTTCACCCACCCTAGCAATGGCACTGGAAGCACCTAGATGGGCCAGATGGGTGTGGAAAGCAGATAGCACCCCACTGGAGGCAAGGTGACCAGGAGCCCAGAGGGCACGGCTGGGGGAAGTACGGGGGCGAGGGGGGGACTGTGAGCATGAGACCCTGTCCATGTCTCCATAGCTTGCCCATGCCCTTCCATGTCACCCCTCTGCTCTCCTTCTTGCGCCTGGCAGAAGGGAGATCCCCCCCGGAATGGCATCCCGCCCTCCTGAAGCAAACAGCCTCGCCCTGCCTCTTCCCCGCATGCTGTGAGCGTGGGCCAGTTGGTGGCTCGTACAGATACCCGTGGAGCTCTGATGAGCCGGGCATTTCACTGGTTCCTGGCCTGGAGCTTAGCTGCCTCGAGCCTCCAGCAGCCGATTCCTCGGGAAGATCGGTGGGTCCTGCTGGCCGTTCACAGTGCCACCTGGACTCAGCCGGGGATTGTGGATGTCACATGCCGAATGACTCCTTCTAACGTTTCTCCCCTCTCTGCATGTCTGATCTCGCACCCCGTGTAGGCATGACGAGTATTCTGATGTCAGCCATTGGACTCCCTGTGTGTCTTAGCCGCGCACCCCAGCCCGCCAGCCCTCCCGCCTCCTGTCTGGCCTCTAAAAGTCACAGCTCAGTTAAGAGATTGAGGAAAATGTCCATGAAAGGTAGTTCCTGCTCACAAATACTCTCTGGCCTCTGCTAAGCCTCCAAGTCTTGCTGCCTCTGACTCTCCTGCATCGATCGCTCTTCTCTGACCCCCACGGCCCTTCTCTGCTTCCTTTACCCCCAGGGGAGGGCCTCAGTGGCCCTTTTGCCTGTCCTCGGTGCAGAGGTGGGCCCTAAAAGCCACTTACTGCCAAAAACCCAGAGTTCAGAAGCTCCTGTCTTCCTGGCACAGGTGGAGTGTGAGGGGCCTGTTCTTGAGGACTCTGTGACTCTATAAACACAAGCATGGGCTGAGGCCAGCTCAGGATGGGGTGACTCTGTCCCTCCCAGCAGGGCCAGCGTGCGTCTCAGGAAAGGCCCCCAGCCCTATCTGGCCACCACAAAGGACTACTTCAGAGGAGTCCTCCAGTGGTGCTGCGCTGCCCATCACATGGCTGGGGAGGAAGGGGTTTCAGGACCATGGAAGGTGCTGTGGGTTTTAACCAGACTTATGTGAAGGGGCCTGTGGGTAGTAAGTTCTTAACCTGCCATTTCGAAAGCCTATGCCTCTGACTTTGGGCTGGAGATGCACAGACTGCTGAAAGCCCGGTGACCTTCAGCGTGGTGTGGTGAGCAAGGGAGCACGGCTCTGGCGCAGCCAGCCTGGGTTCCAGTCTTGGTTCTGGCTTCTCCATGCATGAGCCGGCACCTGGTACTTACTAGCAGATCGGTCGTGGGAGGAATAGGAAATGCACACAAGAGGCGCCCGGCATGTAGTCATGGGGGTGTTCTGATCATGCCCACTGCCTATCTAACCCCAACCCCGCAGGTGTCAGGGAGGCCCAGCGAGTGGCATGGGCCTTTGGAGGGAGTGTGGGCCTTTGCACCGATCCCGGCAGCCAGGCAGGGCAGGCCCGGAGCTTCCTGAGACACTCAGACTGGCCCGGGAAGAATGCAGGCTCTTGGCAGACACTCTGACCTTCCTTCCTGGGCTCAGATATCCCTTTCTTGGGGTTGGTGGTCGCCTGGCTAGCCCCCTTAAGAGAAGTGTGGATCGTGGAAAGCTACCTTGGGTTCTAAAAGGCCACCTGGGCAAGGGCAAGTAGCGGGGAAATGAGATGCTGAGCCAGGCCTCACCAGAGGTGGGCCCAAGGCTAGTCCTGGCAGATGGGGTCCTGGGGTCCCTATGCTTTTCTAAAATGCTTCTCTCCTCACTCTGAGTCCCAGCAGCTACCAGGACGGCTACCAGTGCTGGCGGTCACTGTGCTCTGGCCTGGCCTTCTCACCAGTGACCAGTCCGGGGCCTAGAAATCTGTGTGTGTCTGTATGTGTTGGGGGGAGGGTGCGCGTGTGCGTGTGTGTGTGTACGTGTGTGACGTTTACGGGTGTGGGGGGAAGTTTGGGTGTGTGTGGAATGTGTTGGGGGACATTTGTGTGTGTGTGTGTGGTATGTGTGTGAAGGGGTAGAGGTACATTTGTGTGGAGGTGTGTGTGTGTGTGAGGGGGTTGGAGGGGATGTTTGTGAGGGTGTGTGGGCTGCGTGTGTGAGGGTGTGTGTGTGTGAGGGGGTTGGAGGGGATGTTTGTGAGGGTGTGTGGGCTGCATGTGAGGGGGTTGGAGGGGTTGTGAGGGTGTGTGGGCTGCGTGTGTGAGGGTGTGTGTGTGTGAGGGGGTTGGAGGGGATGTTTGTGAGGGTGTGTGTGTGTTTTGATGGGTGGGGGATATGTTTGTGTGTGTGGGACTGTGGGGAGTGTGTGTGAGGGGTGGAGGTACATTGGTGTGGGGGGTGTGAGGGGGTGGGGGGTGTGTGTGTCAGGGAGTTGGGGGGACGTTTGTGTGTTGGTAGGGTGGTATTCCTTGGTCTGTAGCTGCCTCTCACAACAGTCACAGGTCGGGTCAGGATGAGGTCTCCATTTTGAGGCGAGGGAACTGAGGTTCAGGTGGTGTGCTTTGGTCCCAGCGTGACAGCCAGAACCAAACCTGACGTTGCCTGCTCCCCGCCTCTGCTCCCCTCCTAGCTGTCGCCTGGCCTTCTCTGGTTTTGAGGGCACTTGGCTGTGGAGCCCTCAGGCTTGTCTGTCTTTGCAGCCACACCTGGTGGCTCTGAGCTTGGGTGCAGACCAGGGTCTCCCTGGTGTCAGAGGCTAGGAGCGGGACCTACCCAACGACCCGGAGGCAGGAAGAAGAGCTTTCCCCAGCTGCACTGGTCTTCCCGGGTCCTCCTTTCTGCTCCTGCACAGCTTTGCTGCCATTCTCTGTCATTCTGCCGCTGCCTCTGGCTGGAGAAGCCCCAGACCTGGCCAGTTCTCTCCCCGGCTGGGAGAGTTTCTCATTTAAGGGGCGTTGGGGGGGCCCGTGTGGGGCCGGGCTCAGTGTTGATGCAGGCGCAGGGCTGCCCCTCCCAGCTTTGTGCACGTGGGGGGTCTTGAGAGGAGTGGGGTGCCTGGGGTGCCCTTCCTCCTGCGTCCCAGCTCCTTCCCGGACTTGGCGTGTCGCTGAGACCCCACGGTCCAGGGCCAGGCAAGAGAAAACCATGGTTTGTCGTGACCTTATCCGTGTGGCATTGTCTGCAGTCGGCGTGCACACAGATGCCCGCCGGGCAGGCACCCGCTGCACGTTCAGCTCTTGGAACTTCTCTTGCCTTGGCTTTTTCACGAGAGTAATGGAGGTTGAGTGAAACAGCACTGCTGGAACATGCTCCAGAGTGGTTTGTTGTAGAAGCTGCTGTTCGACTTTCTGTGTGTCCTCGGAAGAGCCTGGGTCTAGCCTTCTGACCGAATACGTGCGGGGACGTGGTGGAGGCCCACACATGGCTCCTGACGGCTGGGACCGCCGGTCTCCGGTCCTCGTCCACTGCCTCCAGGGCTCCTGGGGCCGGACCTCCAGCAGGTGGACCAGATAGGGCTCTGCCAGGCCGAGTTCCGGGCGTCTGCAGTGGTGCCGTGTCTCCTCTTGCACGCTCACCCCTCCCACCTCGGCCCTTCTCAGTGTCCCTCCCGGCAGCTTGGGCCTCTCCCTTGTCCCCCTTCCTCTCTAGATTCAGCGTCTCCAGTTCATATTCCTTGGGACACTGCTAATGTTCTTCTCTCTTCTAGGAGGGACTCCAAAGCCAGAGCCAGAACAGGTGATAAAAAAGTATACAGAAGAGCTGAAAATGGCCCCAGATGAGGTATGTGTCGCCAGAACCACGCTGCTTCTGGTTTGATTTGGAGACGAGGGTTGGCTCCAGAGGAGAAGGTTACCAGCCTTTTCTTGCTGGGACGGTGCTCCCCAAGGTGCCTCTGAGTGCCGGCCGTGGTCCGGGTACTTGGGGTTGATCTCCCAGCCTCCTGGAGGAGGCAGGCCTTACCAAGGGGAGGTGGCCTGGCTTCAGAGGCCCAAATTCTGATCTGAGCTTTGCCGCTCATGAGCTGTGGGGTCCTGAGCAAGGCTCCTACACAGGCCTGTGCGTGACCCTCTGCCTGGGCCATCCTGGAGACAAGGGGTGGGAGAGCCTGCCCCACTGCCCGAGGACCGAGCTAGGGAAAAGTGTGGCTTTGTCCCCTTGGCACTCCTGCCCCTCTGGCTGTGGGGAGAGCCAGTCAGCCTTGCTGTCATTACGGGGCCTGCCAGACCCTCATAGCAGCTTTGGTAGGACCCGAGCCTCTGCTGAGCCGCGTTTTGGGGGCTGCTGTGCCACTGGTCTCTGATTTGAATGGAGAGTCCCAAGGACTCTGGGGGCACGGGGCAGGGGGTCATGGGTTAAAGGGCAGTCGTGCCAGTACAGAACTGAGGCCTCCACCCCACCTCTTTCTCCCGCAGCTCTGGCTGGTAAAGGTTGAGTGACCTGGAGGTTGTCCCCGTGTCCCCCACCCTCCCTCCAGAGCTGTCTGTGCTCCCACCAGACAGCACACAAATCTGTGTCCTTGCCTTTGCCCTTGCAGCCCCCACCCCCACCTGGCATAACTGGGCTGCTCTGTACCAGCCTCCTGGCCTCCAGGCAGCTGTGATCACGCTGGTAGCCTCACCTTAAACCCCTTCGGCAGGGTCCCCTGCCATGGGAGACAAAGCCCCGCTCCTCAGCTTGGCCGTCAGAACCTCAGGGACCTGGTCCTGACCCGCCTGTCTCTTTTACACCCTACTCACCCCTGCCCCCTGCGGCTGCCACCGCCCTTCCCAAACGAGGCTGCTTTCTGCTCCGAACATTCTCTTCCCTTTCCCTGCCATGCCCGTTCCCGTCCTTGTCCGCCTTGTCCTTTCTCCCTTGTGACAGCCAGCTTTGAGGTCCTCTCCTCTCAGTCTCCTGCCCTGTTGTTTCCCTTCTCCCGCCCGGGTCTGCTGCTGTCTTCAGCCTGTGCTTCTGCCACTGCCAAGGCCCCCGTGCACCTGTGCTGGTGGCCGCCTGTCGTCCCCTCTCCTGTGGCGAGCCCTCTACGGGCGCGGATCCTGGTGCCTCATCTGTCTTCCCCACCTCTGGGACAACTGACTACAGGAATGACTGCCCATAATCCTGGCATTTCGGCAGATGATGGCCTTTTCCTGTTAAGACCCTCCACCCCCCCTTGTGGCGCAGCGGGCTGTCGGTGAGCGTGCCCTGTGCTGGTCTCCCTCCAGGACTGCATCATCTGTATGGAGAAACTGTCTGTGGTGTCCGGCTACAGCGATGTGACCGATAGCAAGACCATTGGGCCCATGGCTGTGGGCCGCCTTGCCAAGTGCAGCCATGCCTTCCACCTGCTGTGTCTGCTGGCCATGTACTGCAACGGGAACAAGGTGCCTGCACGTCTGCCTCCCACACGTGCCCACAGTCCTGCTGCTGTCCTGCGGGGGGCCCGGGACGCTCTCGGAGGCAGACTCACGATGTCTGCAGTCCTGGGCCCTTGGCAGGGTAGAGCTTGGCCGCTGTGGGCCTGAAGGTGGCAAGTGACACCTGGCTGCTGTCCTTTGGTGGCGCTTAGCCGGAACGGACAGAGGTTGGGAGGACAGAGAGAAGGACCCGAGTCACGTGTCAGACCTCGGGGCTTGGCGGGGCGTCTCCCGCCCGCAGCATCCCTGGGCCGCCCTGTACCAGCCAGGGTGCCGGCACCAGCATTTGCTAGGTCACGGGGTTTTTGTTTGGTCTGAAACCTGTTCGACCGTGGAGACTGTTGTGCACCAACCTGATTTGCCTACTTGATGCTGGTCTGCCAGTACCTCGCCCCCACGTCGACTGTCTTTCCAGGGAAGCCATTGGGGTCAGGTTTCTGTGCCGGGAGGGAGTCGGGGGACGAGCTGGGGACCTGCTGTGGGGCAGGGGGCCATGCTAGGCACTCTCTCAGGGCCACCGGCTCAGTCCGTGGTGCTCTGCTTTGTCTCAGGACGGAAGTTTGCAGTGTCCTTCCTGCAAGACCATCTACGGGGAGAAAACGGGGACCCAGCCCCGGGGGAAGATGGAGGTGTTCAAGTTCCAGGTATCCCTCCCCGGCCATGAGGACTGCGGAACAATACTCATAGTTTACAACATTCCTCACGGCATCCAGGTAAGGGGCACGAGAGGAGCCTCCTGGGACCGTTCTGGAATCGGTCCCTCTCACTCTGGGGCAGTCTTCTTCCTACGCCGCCCCTCTCCCAGTGGTCTGATCCCTGGGGCACTCAGGAGGCCCCAGCCTCCCAATTTCAGGCTCCCAGGAACCAGGAGGCGCCAGCATCTGGGGACGGGACAAGCTTGTAGGGTTGTGGAAGCAAAGAGGTGGCCTGCAGCCCTTTCCTGATGCAGGGAGGGCATCCTGGGGGCGGAGACATCGTAGCTGGGTTTGTACTGGGCAGAAGGCCAAGTGTATAAAGCAGGAAGAATGCTTGTGTTGAGGGGCTGAATAACGGGGGATCCCACAGGGCAGGGAGGTGCCGACAGTGAGGGCAGTTGCTCTTGAGAGGCCAGCTCAGTGGCCAGATCCAGGCCTGCCTTGGGTGTGGTGGGGCCAGCTCTAATGTCAGGAACAAGACAGGAACCTGAGCAGAAGGTCCCAGGGTCCCAGTAGAGACCCAGATAGGAGCCCTGGGCCTTTCGGCCTCCTGCTTGGGCCAGGGCTGACCTCAGAACTGGTGGCAGGTGGGGAAGGTACTGGGCAGTGGAGACCAGGACCCAGAGGGGCCTGTCTGTGACAGGTGGGGTGTCCCTGTTTTGTCCAACCACATGCTTTTCCCTGGTTTCCCTCTGCTTCTTTTCAGGGGGTCATAGTGAATTTTAAAAACATTCCCGACGGCCTTAGAGCCACAGAGCAGTGTGTGTGTGTTGGGGGGGGGGGGGGGTGTTGGAGGTGTATGTGATGTGCCTCTGAGTGGCAGAGGGCAGACGAGCAAGGGCCTTCCACTGTTCTAGCCTCCTCCCCTCCCGTCCTGTTTGCTGCCCCTGTGCCAGACCCCGCTGTGGCCCCATCTCGAGCAAGGGGTGAGGGCGTCAGGAAGGAGGCCCTGCCATCTCGGCCACAGAGCCCGGAGGAGCACCAGCGGGGTGGGAGCGTGTGCCTCGGCCTTTGATGAGCTCTGGTCTCATCAGTTTGCAGGAGCGTCTGTGCCAAACCGAGTGGCATGGCATCAGGGAAGGCCGTGTCATGTCCAGTCTCTGAGGGGCGGGATCTGAGACACGGATTTATTTGGTCTCAAGTGCAGGAATAACCCTGGCCGGGGAGGCAGAGGGTGGGCTGGGCTGCTGGGCCCCTCTCAGAATGCACCCACACCCAGTGTCTGCGTTCCTCCTGCAGGGCCCAGAGCACCCCAACCCCGGGAAGCCGTTCACCGCCAGGGGGTTTCCCCGCCAGTGCTACCTTCCAGACAATGCCCAGGGCCGCAAGGTGAGGAAGGGGCCCCCCCGGCTGCTAGGCCTGTGCCTGGCTGCTTGTGGGCAGTTCGAGCAGGTGGGGTGGGGAAGGGCCCAGCCTGGTGGCCATACCTGCTCTGCCCTGCTCACCTTCTTCTTCTGGGGCTGGCTGGGGTGCTGGCCCCTCCTTCCCAGGGGCGGCTGTGCATTAGGCATGCTCCCCCAGGAGAGATGACTGGAGAGGAGGCCTCTTCCATCAACCTCCCGGGCCAGGTCACCTGGTCTTCAGTCAGGTTAGCATGACGAGATCAGTGGGGTGGGGGCGGTGGGGGTGCAGGGGACAGGAAAGGACTGGTGACTGGGACGGCCTACAGAGCCACCTCTTCGCTGAGACTAGGGAGAGCATTCACAGCAGACAGAGCAGCTCGTGAGTGGCAGCAGGTGGACCGGGCTGGAGGCTGGGAAGAGTCTGGGGAGGACCAGAGCCCCTTGTGGGGGCAGTGGGGCATCGGGCACCCCTAGGCCACCCTGGGTGTTGCTGGTTGGAGTTTTGAAAAAGCTTCTTCTGGCTGCTGGGAGCCTGGCCGGCAGGTACTGGGTATGGGGGAGCAGAGAGGCGCGGGCTCCCTCGGGAGGGAGAGGCCGACTTGGAAGTAGGGCCAAGTTAGGCCGGCCCCAGGTGTGGCTTGAGCAGCGGATGGCCATGCCCTCTGAGGGTCCTCTTGGGCGGTGAGGTCAGCAGGTAGAGTTCTGAGAGAGGAGTTAGGACTGGAGCCGGAGGTCGGGGACCCCCACAGATGGGGCTCCAGGCCCGGGACTGTGGGTGGGCTCACTCAGGAGAGCGGCCCAGCCCCGGCCCTGCCGGCGGTCACAGTACAGGTCGGAGAGAGAGGGCTTTGCGCCCCTTGGTGTGCCCCACCCACGGCTGGCATTGCACCCAACGCCACTGCGCCCATCCTGGCCCCCACTGCTGGGGCAGGTCAGTCCTGGGAAGGGGCGCGAGCAGTGGATGCCAGCAGCTGTCGACCGTCCCCGCGCCTCGCCGCTCCGGGGTGAAAAACCCGTGCCCAGACCTGCGCTCGCTCACCAGGCCCTCCCTCCCTTTCCGCCCCCCGTGGCAGGTCCTGGAGCTGCTGAAGGTGGCCTGGAAGAGGCGACTTATCTTCACAGTAGGGACGTCCAGCACCACGGGAGAGACGGACACAGTGGTGTGGAATGAGATCCACCACAAGACAGAGATGGACCGCAATGTGACAGGCCACGGCTACCCTGACCCCAACTACCTGCAGAATGTGCTGGCCGAGCTGGCTGCCCAGGGGGTGACCGAGGACTGCCTGGAGCAGCAGTGACCCCCCAGCCTGGCCGGCCCCAGCCCCGCTCCGCCTGCCTCCGGCAGCCAGCTGCCCTCTCCCCACGCCGCCGGCTGGGCTGTCCCTGGGATGGGCAGGCAGGAAGGTGCCTTTCCTCAGAGGCTGCAGTGTTTGTTGGGGCCTGCCTTCCACCCCCCTCCTCCCCTCCAGGCCTGGATCTGCGTGGGAGTTGGGCAAGCATGGGGAGTTGTACTGTGGGGGCTTAAGATGCAGCTACCTCAGAGCGTGGGGCCCTGCCCTTGGCGGGCTGCTTTGGGTCCATAGTGCCGGGGGCCTGGCGTGGGGTGAGGCAAGACTGCCCCATCGTAGCCAGGGCAGGCGTGGGTTCAAGGTCAGCTTCTCATACCTCAGATGTTCTGTTTGCAATAAATGCCCTATAGCCAAAGTCAGCAGGCCCTGGTGTGTTTTTCGGTGGAGAGGCTGTGCATGTGTGCGTGCGTGTGCGTGCACCCTGCTGTGTCCGAGCAGGAGGGAGCCGCAGACTGCCTGTTCGACCCGCATTCCCCAATGACCAAGCTGCGGTGAGGCCCGAGAGCCCACCCCCTGACCTGGGCTGCTGCCCCGTCCCCACTCCAGTTCTCCTCACCGAGTGCGGTCCAGTGACTCTGCCAGGCCCGCCGTCCCATTTATTCCCCGAGTAAGACGCTGCTTGCACGTGGCAGGTGCTGCTGGCTCCAGGTTCTGGATGAGGGAACAGGTTCAAGGATGCAGTGACTGGCCCAGGGTCCCAGGCTCGCAGTAGAGCTGGGCCTGGAAGGGGGCCAGGGCTGGTCTGACCCCATCCTTGAAGTTCTAATTCTTCTCAACCCTCTTAGGAGGATCAAATACCCCAGCCTGCCATCTGTCTGGGGGCAGTGACTGTGGCCCGGGGCTACAGGGACACCGGCCACATCCTGAGTGGGCCCCGGGTACGTTTGCCTCCATAAACCCTTTTTCTCCATAAGAAAAAAAAATTAAATTTTTTATGTGTTTTTATATTTTATGTGTTGGTGTAAAGATGAATATATTATACATTAAAGCATTTTTCTTCCACCTAAAAGTTTGGGGTTTTGGGGGCGCCTGGCTGACTCAGTCAATAGAGCATGTGACTCTTGAGTTCGAGCCCCATGTTGGGTGTAGAGATTGCTTAAAAATAAAATCTTAAAGTAGTTACCCTATGACTCAGTGATTCCACCCCTAGGCATGTATCCAAGAACAGAAAACAGGTCCACACAAAACTTGTACATGAACACTGGTGACAACATTATTCATAACAGCCAAAAAGTGGGAACAACCCAACTGTCCGCCGAGGGGCCAGGAAACAAAATGCCCGGTCTCCATACAGTGGAGGGAAAGTTCTGGAGCCCTAAGGAAGAACAGAGGCCGGCCACACGCTACAACATGGATGAACCTGGACAACAGAACACTAAGTGAAAGAAGCCAGCCCCAGCTCGCCACTTGTGTGATTCTGTCGATGTGAAATGTTCAGTACAGGGAAGTCCGTGGAGGCTGAGAGTAGACGGTTGCCGGGGGAGCGGGGAATGGGGAGTGACTTATCATGGGTACAGCGTGTTCTCTCGGGGTGATGCACACGTTCTGAACTTAGTGGTGATGTTTGCACAACCTTGTGAAAACCCACTGTGCTGTAGATTTTAAAAGGATGAATTTTATGTGTATTATCTTTTTTTAAAAATTATATCTTAACAAAAAAATAGAACCCAAAGGACTAAAGTAAGTGGGAGGCTTGTCAGCTGTCAAAGGTCCTTTCTCTGACTCCAGACTCCTGTTAGACAAGAATGTGGCCTTGTGGAGGGAGGGCAGGGCGCTGAGATGGCAGAAGGACTGGGGTGGGGGGGTGGAGGGGGTGGGGGGGTGCTGTCCTGGGGCTGGAGCTGGACAGGTTGGCTTGGGCTTCTGCATCCTGCTCCCACTCCCTAGGTGGGGATGGAAGGCCAGAGGGAGGCTCTTGGCACCTGGAGTGCAGGAATCTCAGGCATGTGGCCCTGAGCCCATGTTTCCAGAGACTGGGTCCTCTCCAGGGCAGGGAGGCTAGCTGGGAGCCCAATTCAGACATGGGACTCCGGTGGCCTGGCTGGCATCTGGGGGTCCAGTGGCATCCCCTTCAGTCCTGCACTGGGGCCTGGCACTAGCCTGCCCCACCCTACAGCCCAGCCCAGCCCAGCCCCCTCAGGGTAGGCTGGGCTGGTGGGAGAGGGTGGGTACATTTACATTTTCAGGTCTTTCCAGGCCTTGGCCAGCCTCTCAGCCTGACTAACTGGCTCCTCCAGGCTCAAGGCGCTGGGGGCGGGGGTGTGGCAGGAGGTAGCCAGATCAGCCCCAGGCTGTGGATGTGGAAGAAAGCTGAGCTTGGGCGGCCATCATGGGGCTCCCCCAGAGGCAGCCTGGCCCATCGGTCCTGCTCCTCCTCGTGGGGGTGCTGGTCTGGCCCTCATCTTGTATGAGCCTGGGTGAGTGGGGGTCCTGGGATGAATTCACCTGGCCGGACCCAAGGGGCTGGGACCACCCGCTGGGGTTATTGGATCCTGGAAGCCCCCCACCTCCAACAGGGAGGCAGGGAGCAGGTCCCAGGACCCTCATGCCTATCTCCGTGGCCACAGAGCTGATCCCCTACACGCCGCAGATAACAGCCTGGGACCTGGAAGGAAAAGTCACAGCCACCACGTTCTCCCTGGAGCAGCCTCGCTGTGTCCTGGACGGGCATGCTGGCGTTGCCAACACCATCTGGCTGGTGGTGGCCTTCAGCAATGGTGTGTCACGGTGCGGGTCTGGGGCTGAGGCGAGCTGGCCAGTGGTGGACCAGGCGTTGGGCTTTATCCTGACGGGCTCTGAGAGGGTGACAAAGTAAACTGGTTTGTGCCTGGAGGGAGCCTCTGGGCCCTGAGGCGGGGAGGGGCCAGGCGGGCAGGGAGCCTTAGACCCAGCAAGGGGCTAGGCCCTCTAGCCCCATCTGTCTGTCCCTTTCTTCTGCAGCCTCCAGGGACTTCCAGAACCCACAGACACGAGCTGAGATCCCAGCCTTCCCACGGCTGCTGACTGATGGCCACTATATGACACTGCCCCTATCCCTGGACCAGCTGCCCTGTGAGGACCCCGAGGGTGGCAGCAGGGACGTCCACCTGCTGCGGGTTGGCAGTGACCCCGGCTGCCTTGCTGACCTCCACCAGCCACCCTACTGCAACAGCCCCCTCCCCAGCCCTGGACCTTACAGGTGGGTCACTCCACCTGGACCCTGGGACAGGGGCTGTGCTGGGGGAGAAGGGGTCTCGGGTTAGAGAGCTGCCCTTCCTAGCCTCTCCCCAGACCCTTCCCCTTCACAAGCTTTGGTTTATGCCTCTGTGGGGTCAAGGAGCAGCACTCATCCCAGTTGGGGGGCAGGCAGAATGTGGCCTTTCCGGGAAGCCTGCCCACGAGGAAGAAGTGGGCACCAAAGGGCTGGTGGGGTCTCAGGCCCAGAGTTGGGCGGTGGGGGTTGCTGGGCTGCAGCCACTAGCCCATGGGTAGATCTGGCAGGAATCTAAGCCCCAGGCTGAGTCCGGGCCCAAGTAGTGGGTATGAGGCAGGGAAGCAGGAAATAAGACTACCACCCACTTTCTCCGGTGAAGAAGCTGAGGCACAGGGCACCATGGGCTTGTCAGGGTCACGGAGGTAGCCGCGATGAGAGCAGGTGTCCAGATGGGGGCTGGTCCCGATATGCCCCAGAAGAGCCAGGCCCAGGGGTCCTCAGGGAGTCCAAGTCCGGCCGAGAAAACCAGCATGGGGTGCAGGGAAGGTGGGGCATGGTGTGGGCTGGACCCGCGCTTCCATCCACAGCCTCCCTCTGCCCCTGCGCAGCCCCTGCCCGGACAGGACCACCCTCCCACCTCCCCCATGCCCACTTCCTGGCTCGGCTTCCTCTTACCTCCTGCCCCCATCCCTAGCAGCCACCGGAGCTGGCTGCCCTTGGTGCCAGACCGCCTGGGTCCCTCCATGCTCAGACACCTACCAGGGCTCCCCACCTGGCACAAAGATACAACCAGACCTCCTCTGCGCGGCCTCTGGTGCCCTCAGTGCTCAGCCGGCCCCCTCCCTGGGACCCCAGGCTCTGAGTGCGCCCTGACCACACCCCTCCCTCCCTGGACCTTTGCTTAGGGTGCCCGAGCCTAGTGGGGGGCCTTCTACGGCTTCCTAGATGCCACTTGGCCAGCCTTTTTCTCTGGGAGGCCTGGGGCTCCCAGCTCCATCTGACCCGCTGAGCCACCCTGAGGCACTGTGTATATGACATTTAGTGACTGGGGCCCCCTAAACCAGATGGGGTGTCTGGAGAGCAATGGCTCAGTGCACTGGGACTGATGGCAGAGGTCACTGTGGTCAGCGCGGTCTCAGAGGGCCCCCAGAGGGGGACCAGGCCACGGCTGATCCCGATGTGCCCCAGAAGAGCCTGGCCCAGAACTGCCTGGAGCTTGGCCACTGTGGGCGCCCTGCCCAGGGCAGCTGAGGCTCAGACCTCCCCACTTCTCCTCCCCGCAGAGTGAAGTTCCTCCTGATGGATGCCAGGGGCTCACCCCAGGCCGAGACCAGGTGGTCCGACCCCATTGCTCTCCACCAAGGTAGCCCTGGGGAGAGGGGTGCTCTGGCTCCAGTCTACCCCTGTGGACTTGTCACCCCCCTGCCAAATGGTCATGCTCAGCTGGCCTCTCCCCCTGCTGCCATGAGACTGGGGGCCTGGAGGCAGTGTGTCCAAGTCCAGCCCCTCCCCCAAACAGAAGCTTGTGCTGGGGAGGTGGGGCACCGGGTCAGCCTCATGGGCAGACACACTGGCTCTGTCCATGCCCAAATATTGGTCACCCCTCGGGTGCCCAGGTCCCAGCCCAGTCGTGGACAGGACGGAGGGCAGGCACATTGGCAGGAACAGCCTAGAAGGTGAGACCAAGGGGCTGGAGCCGTGGGTGATACAGGCGGGCAGGGCCCAGATGCCCGGCTGAGATGGACAGGTCGGTGGGCTCAGGAGGCTGTCAGGCCTTGAGTGTGAGCTTGGGTGGGGACATGACTGCCCTGGGGTCCAGGGGCAGCCTCTGAGCTGCTGCTGTGTGCAGGGAAGGCACCGGCCTCCATCGACACGTGGCCAGGGCAGCGCAGTGGTGACATGATCATCATCACC